AAACTGTATGGCCGTGGCAGGCTTCTTGCTAACTGTTCTTATATCTTAAATTAACCCATTTCTGTAAATCTATACCTTGCCACGTGGCTCGTGGCTTACCGGTATCTTCACATGTGGCTTGTCATAGTGGCGGCTGGCAGTGTCTCTGACTCAGCCTTCCACTTCCCAGGATTCTTCTCCTCGTCCTGCCTATACTTCCTCCTGCCTGACTACTGGCCAATCAGTGTTTTATTTACTAACCAATCAGAGCAACACATTTGCCATACAGAACATCCCACAGCACCTGTAACAATGAGACTTTTTCCTCTTTATCTGTGTTCCCTTTGAGGGTTCCTAAAGTGCTTAGGAATTAGCATATCCACATAAGTAAGTTGCCTATGAGCAGCTGAGAAATATACAATACTGTCTTAAAATTCTGTCTTATTTAAATATATATAAGTCTAAGGATAGTACAGGGGAAGCGCAATATTGGTTATCTAAATTGGCAACTAAATGGAGAAAATGCGCACTAGAAATAGGTTTTTTTTTTTTCTGGAGACTGAGTCTCATCACATAGTCCAGATCAGCTGCAAACTTGAAATCCTCCAGCATTTAGCCTCCTGAGTGCTAGAATTATAGGCATGTGCCATCATGCCCAGCTACTTTTTATAAAAGTATTTAAGTTTTGATTTCACTGTCAGAAGCTTAATTAATGAGCTCCAAAATGGCTCAGCAGGTAATGGCTTTCGGCACATGAGCCTGGTGACCTGTTTGATCCTCAGAGCCCATGTTAAAGAGGAAAAAAAAGAAATAACTTCACAAAGTTGTCCTCTGGTCACCACAGTGTGTCATGGGAGAGCATGCCCACACACACATCATGGATATGTGTACAGAATATGCATATACACACACAATAATAATGCACAAAAATGTAAAAAAAAAAACCTAGAAATTTTAAGTTGAACTAAAAACCACAGCTTTATTCAAATAACATATTTTACATTTACTAATTAGAATTTCTACTTTGATTTTTAATAATAAGAATTTCATATTTAAAACTTTTTCTTCTTTCACATTTTTGATGGAAATATATTCAAATTTGATACTTATGAATTATAATTAATCTTACAAGCCATTACTGTCAGAAACACATAAATTATTTATATACTTGATCATAACTAGTAATTTTTTACTATGACAGATATTATGGAATGGATAACTCATGAAATATTTTTCATGCACCCTGAATATCCCTGGGCATTTATGCATATGCACAGTAAAACTTAAATTCAATTGTCTTTGATACTGAACTTATGGACTTTTAGTCATTTAAACACTACAGCTTCTAATTTAAAAATATTTGCCTTTACAAAGTCATATTGTATTGGTGTTAAGGGAGAAGGTACCTCTTACATTTAATAGTTGGGATGGGGCGGTAACACCATTGTAGAGTGCTTGCCTTTCAAGCTCAAAGACCTGAGTTCAGTCCCCAGAACCCACAATAACACAAAGCTAGGCATGTAACCCATGTTTGTAATCCCAGCACCAGGAAGGCTGAGACAGGTAGATCACTGGGTCTTACTGGCCAGCTCTAGTTTGACCGAAGTTCCAGGCTAATGAAAAATTCTGTCAAAAAAAAAAAAAAAAAAAAAAAAAAAAAAAAAAAAAAAAAGCATGAAGCCTGAAGTTGTCCTCTGGCCTCCACCCACATGTACACATAATCCACACACAGAGACACACAAACACATACCTATACCAAGCTTAATGGTTTCATTTATAAATTCTAAAACTTTCAGGAATATAAAATATACCAGGCTGAGGAAAACACTCTAACTCTACAAATGCTAAACATGAGGCCAAATGCTTTACTCAATCTGATTGTTCTGTTCCTAGGAAACACTAGCTGACAGTAACCATGCTGTTGACAGCTGACACATGCCAGGCCATATGAAGCACTGTCTTTGTGTTACCAAATCCTCCCAAGAGCCCCATGTCACTAGCCATTTTATATGAATACCCTGAGCCTTGAACATTTGTGTAACTTGTCCCAGGTTGTGCAGCCATCAAGTCTTAGATCTGGAATCTGACCCCAGGAAAACAGACTGTCTTTGAGCAAGGGCCTTGGGGAAAGATGACCTCAGTGGTCACCTCAGTGGGGACCCATTCACAACCCATGAAAGGAGACATGTGAGGTCATGGTGTTTGGGAAAAAAAATGTTGTAAGGTGATTCCTACACCTTGTCCTTACCCCACAGCTTGACCAGAGATCTGCTTTCACACCCCAAGAACACTGCCCAGGTACTAAACTGAAGTGACTCCAAAGGAAGACTAAGGGATAGCTTGTGCAATCCTTCATTTCCTCACCTCTGAAATGGGCAGGCAGGAAAAAAACCCCACTGTGTTGCTGCTCTTGAACACTTAGTCATCTGTCTTTTTAATAGGCAAAGGGATTGATGCCACCCTGTCTTCCTTCCCTCCTCTCCCTTCTTCTCTTCCTTCCTGCAAAAGCAAGCTGAGCTAGTGCTATGCAGGTATCACTACACCCAGGGAGCTTGCTATTTAGTAAGGAGACAGCAAACAATACAAAGTTACCAAAAACTACAACTGGTGAGTGCAGTGAAGGAGAGGAAGAGACTGCTTGGGATGTGCTTTCTAGGGGAATTTGCCTGGGTTGCAGAAGTCAAGGAAGATTGGGTGAGAACATGGCACAGGAACGGTGTTCTGGGTGATCAATTAGAGTTAAATGTATACAAGTTGGGGGATCATGTCAGGCTGAGCTTGGAGACTGAAGCTGCAGTTTGGAGCTTGAAGATTCTGAGAGAAGGCTAGTAAAGCTGGAAGTGTGTATGGGTATACGAGTCCAGGCCTTTCACTAACCACATCCAACACACAGCCTGTATTAGTAAATAAAGTTTTCTTATAACATAGCCATACCCAATTTTTTACATACTACCAAGAACTGCTGCTTCCTGCTTTAATAGCCAGATTGAATAGTTGCCATGGAAATGTGATGACCCACAAAGCCCAAAGTTTCTGCTTCCCTTTCAGAAAAAAACCTGGGAGACCCCTGACCAGGCAGTAGAAGCCAGATGTTGAAAGCCTGTCAAGGACTTCAGTTATGGGGCCTTATCCTAATGACAGTGGGATCTACAGGAGTGCTTGAAGACAGAAGAGGACAGGGAATAATGTGCCTCAATTTACCAAGAAACATTCAAGAGCCGGGTACACACTTTGATTGGAAGGATATCCCAGGTAAGATCCCTCAAAAACTGCAAAGAAACCCTGGCGCTAATCCTGCTAGGAATGGCCACTAAGTGTGTTCTTGTGTGTGAAAGGGGCCTCAATCAACTTCTGCCTGACCTACCATGTAAGTCAGATTCTGTTGGGAGCAACATTTCAAGCAGGATAAAGCACACTTTCACTTGGCAAGAGAAGAGGAAAGGATGAGAGGAAAGTTGGACGTGATTGGACAATTAGGAAACTCAGTAAGAATTTAGGGGCAACATATAATGGCCCAAACTGGCCTAGCTTCAGGGCATGGACAAAAGTGAACCTGCTTGGAGAACAGTTGAAGAAATATACAAAAGCAAGTTAATCCCTTGTCTATTTAAAGAGGATTTGATTAGAGGTGTCTGAGAAAGGGAGCAATCAAGTAGACTCTAGAAGTCTCACAACTCAAGGATAATTTCCATTTCTGGAGAGTCCACAGCCTCAAGTGAATGATAAGAAGTTTGGGACTGAGCTAGTACAGTAATTAAAGTGCAAAGCAGACAGAATTTAGTTCTATTGTTAGACTCTTTAAGGTGTATTATTAGAAGCAGTTTTCCATTTCCACTAAGAAAGAGGAAACAATCCATGCTGTTCCCCACTGTTCCTTGAAGTGTCCTGTGGTTCTCAGTGAGAGGGGAACCGAATCATCTTTTGTCTCCATCCATAAAATCCCCAATTGAAGGTGACAAACTTGTCCCAGTTTGCTCAGAACTTTTTGGTTTTACTATTGAAGGTTTTACTCCCAGAAATCGTCTAAGCCCAGAGCACACTTGGAAAGTTGGGCACCTCACATCCAGGACTCTCCTCAGGGGAGATTGTTTTCTGTTGCTATCTCTAGCCACAGAAATGTTCAGCCACTTTAAAGTGGTAGTTTCTCTTGTTGATAACCAAATTGAGGAACAAGTTTGAAGTCGGATGTTACTTGGTGTTCTGCAGTCTTGCCAAGGGAGGGAAAGGGTTCAAGAAAAGGGAAATGATCCACATTGTCAGAGGGTCCTCAGAGATCTGATGGAAATAGCTACAAAGGAATCGCCAAGAATGGGTTCCTGGAGGTGGGGTGTCCTAGTTTCATCTCGGTTTCCACCCTGACGAAAATTATTTCAGGGGAGGAAGGGAGGAGCTAGCTAAAAATCCCAAGTCACCATCCATCATTTTGAGGAAATCAAGCCAGAGCAGGAACTAGTCCCGTCACACACAGTCAAAAGCTAAGAGAATAAACAGACCCTTGCTTGTGGCTGCTCAGCTACCCCAATCTATACAGCCACCCAGCCCAGGGTCCCAAACCAGGGCATGGACTTCAAACAGTGAGCTGGGGCTTCTTATACCAACAATCAAGAACACCTCCTCTCCATCCCCATCCTGCAGAACAAACCCATGGGCCAATCTGATCTAGAAAATCGCTCACTGAGCCACGCTTCAGCCTGGTGATTGTGGGTTGTGTCAATTTGATAATTAAAACTGGTAGTTTAATACATGGGGGTATTGTTCAGACAGAAGTAGGACCGCTGTGGATGAAGGAACGAAGGGAAGAGTGAACTGGTCTTTTTAAAAGGCTTGACTCTAGGTAAAAGAGGCTAAGAAAGAAGTTGGGAGGCTGAAGGTAGGATGTTCATGGGGGTTTGGTAAGCACGGAGGAAATGGTGTATGTACGGAAGGAGAGGAGATGGACCTGCAGAAGCAGGCTCCGCCACACGAGCATGGTTCCACTTTGTTTTGTTGTTTTGTCTGCTGTATTCTGGGGTGGGTGTGTGGGGTATATGGGCATGTTCTTGTATATGCAAGTACAGGTATGTGCACACACGTGTAAAGGCCAGAGGACACCTCAGGTATCATTCCTTAGGAGCCCTCCACTTTTGTGCTGGAAGGGGCAGACACACAGGTGCACAGTGGGACTGTAGACGTCAGAGAACAACTTGTAAGAGTTGATTCTCTCCTTCCATCATGTGAGTTCAGGAGGCTGACCTCAGGCCCACCTGCTGAGCCATCTCACTGGCCTCTACTTTGTTTTTTGAGATAAGCTCTTTTACTGTCCTGAAGCTGGCCAAGTAGACTAGGCTAACTGCCCAGCAAGCCCCACGAATCCATGTCTGTCTCCTCAGTGCGGGAATTATAGGCATGCACCACTATGTCCAAAAAAAATTTTTTTTGGCCTGAGTTCTGGGGCTTGAATTCAAGTCATCATGCTTACAAGGGAAGCACTCTATTTACTGAGCATCTCTATCCTGTATTTTTGTGATTATTGTTGCCACAGAAGAGAGGATTCTGTCAGGGAGTTGTAGCCAGGGAAGAAAAGAACATGGGCCAGGCTAAACGATGGGCATCTTTTTCTTCCCTGAAATGGAAGGCTTTGTTCTCCCTTGAGCATGGTGGGGAACAAGAGAGGGTGAGAGGCAAGAGACTGGTCAAGATTTGAGGGCACTTTGTGGGAAATGGGAAGACATGCTGACTAGGATAATGGAGAAAAGTATGGGAGGGGGTGATGTGATGAGGGCTCTAACGTGTGTAGGAGCATTAGTGTACAGAAGCAGAGAGTGGAGCTTGGAATGATGTTTGGATTGCTCTGGCATTGACATTTTGCCAGCTGGGATGGAAGGAAATGTATTGTTATGCTCTTGCTTAAAAAAAAAAAACTTTTCAACACTACAAAGTCAGCAAAATAGAACTGGACCTCTGCTGCATTTCCACCCCTCCCTCGTTCAGCTCACGTCCCTCCCCTACCTGGCCTTTGTCTTCTTTTACACTGGCCAGCCCCAAGCCTTCTCCATTTCACATTTCCCCAGGCATCCTGTCCCAATTTCCTTAAACTACATTGGATTTTCAACATGGGAGTTTTTGACTCTTTATGATGAGAAAACTCCAAGCACCAAAGGGAATTCGATTTGCCCCCAAAGCCTCCCATATTCCCCAGAAAGAATCCATTTCTTGTCCTGTTTCCTATCAAACTAGAATGACCCATCGTTTGTTTTTTTTTTTTCTCTTTTCTTTTTCTTTTCCTTTTGATTTGGATTTTTGAGACAGGTTTTCTCTGTGTAACAGATCCTAGCTATCCTGGAACTGGATTTGTAGAAGAGGCTGGCCTCTCATAGAGATCCATCTGCCTCTTCCTCCTGAGTGCTAGGATTAAAGACACCACACTAGACAAACTATAATTTTCTTAATCCCTCTTGGGAGAAGTTGCCTCACTCTGCATTGGCAACCCCAGAGGCACAAGGATTGATTTAGTGTGGCCAACTAAGGATTCCCTCCCAACATTTAAGATTGAGCTACAGGATGGCGCTGGGCACTAGGTGTAGGACTCTCTAGATTTGGGTCCATGGGGGTGGAAGACAGGAACCAAGTGCAGACATCTTGACAAGATAACAAGGTAAGAGTAAAGGAAATGAGAGAGAAACAATCCTCTGGAGTGAGGGTTCTGTGCAAGACTCAAAGGAACATCTTGCAGCTGAGTTCCTGGAGATATTCCAGTACCATTACTATGAATTACACAGCAGTGAAGTTAGCCCTGGGCAGTTTCTGTTCTCTGCCCCTGAACTAGAAGGCTCTGCTCCCACAGTGTCTCTAGTATGCCTCTGCTAGAACAGAGGCTCGCTTATCATTAGTTATGTGTGTCTGTGTCTGTCTGGGCCTGGCATCCCTGAGGGCAGGAACTCTGTTCTGCTCATTCATTATGGGTATATGTTAAATACTCAAAAAAGAGCTGCTAGGTTTTTATCTTCATAGTTCACAAAATGCTTCAATGTATCATTTCTTAGCAGGTATTCTAAACTCTCTGCTTTGCCCTAAATTTTGCTACTGTATTACTTTTCTAAATTTGTGACAAATAACAAATATGAGCAATTTAAAAGGATTAATTTTAGCTTATGGTTTCAGAGGTATCAATCCATCATGTCAGGGAGGGCATGGCACATCAGAGGCAAGCTCAAGACAAGGTTTCTCTGTGCAGCTCCAGCTGTCCTGGAACTCTGTTGACCAGGTTGGCCTTGAGCCCAGAGATCCACCTGCCTCTGCCTCCCAGTGCTGGGATTAAAGGCATGCACCACCACTGACTGGCCGAAAGAATAATTTAGAAAGAGGCCAGGACCTGTCCCTAAGGACACTCCCCTACTGACCTACTTCCTCCAACTAGGTCCTACCTCCTGCTTTTTACCACCTTCCAAAAATGCCATCATAATATTATGGACCCATAAAGAGATGACACCAGAGTCCTCAGGACCTAAATCATTTCTGCAAATGTTCTCATAGATACTCATAGAGGCATTCTCTAGGTGTTTCTTAATCAATCTAATTGACAAGATTTGAATTATTTTACATAATTTTCATTAAATTGGCTTTCATGTGGTCCCAGCCCCCCCCCCAACCACCACCACTGCCAAATTTCATAGGCTTTGAGTTTCTACTATCTAGAGTTCAATATAAAGGATTCAGAGTACAGTGATATTAAAAGGCCCTGCCTCTATCTGTTGGTGAGGTTGTGGGTCTTAATAGGAAATCTGTCTTCTAATTGCCTTTATCTCTGAGATGGTTACTTCCCAGGAAAGCTACTGAAACAGCTTCCTTCATTTTTTCCTTTATTGAAAAGATTCTTTTCTCAAACACTAAACATCTTGATTATAGTTTCCCCTCCCTCTACTCCTCCCAGTTCATCCCTGCTTCCCCTCCACTCTGGATCCACTCCCTTTCTGTCTCTCATTAGAAAAGAACTGGCTTCTAAGAGATAACCAAACATGACAAAATAAAATATAAGATAAAGCAAAACCATATTAAGGTTGGACACAGCAACCCAACAGGAGGGAAAGAACCTCAAGAGTAAGCATAAAGGTCAGAGACCCACTCATTCTCACATTAAGGAGCCTCATAAAAACACTAACCTGAAAACTATATTATATGTGCAGAGGACCTGGTGCTGACCAGGGTATGCCCTGTGCTTGCTGCTTTAGTCTCTGAGTTCACATGAGCCTTGTTCAGTTGATTCAGAGGGCTGTGTTCTCCTGGTGTCCTCCATCCTCTCTGGCTCTTACACTCTTTCTGCCCCCTCCATGGGATTCCCTGAGCTCTGAGGGGACTTGATGGAGACATCCCATTTAGACTCTTTCTCCATATAATGTCTGGCTGTGGCTTTCTCAATCTGCTCTCATCTGCTGCCAGAGAAGGTTTCTCTGATGATGATTGAATAAGAAATTGATCTATGAGTATAGCAGAATATCGTTAGGAGTCATTTTAATCAATACTTTTTTATTGTCATTTTAATCAATACTTCTGGTTTTTCAAGATAAGGTTTCTTTGTGTAACACCTAGCTGTCCTGGAACTAGCTCTGTAGAACAGGCTGGACTCAAACTCACAGAGATCCTCCTGTCTCTGCCTCCCAAATGTTGGGATTAAAGGCGTGCACCACCACTGCCTGGCCACCTTTTCTTTTCTTTCTTTTTTTTAAAGACTAGTAGTGTTTGTTTTTACCCTAGGTCTCTGGGCTATCTAGTCTCTGGTTCTTAGTTACTCAAACAATGTTGGGTATGGGTCTCTTCTCATGGAGTGGACCTCAAGTCAAATCAGACATTGGTTGGCTACTCCCACAAGTTCTAGGCCACCATGGGGCAGCTTAATTTCAATGATGTCATCTGAAGCACATCAGTGGGTCATTCATGCATCTCCATATCTACTCAGAATCTCAGATTTTCAGAGTCAAGGACAGTGGTCCTCAGACTTCTGAACAGTTATAAACTGGCATTATTACTAAGATGAGGGTTGCTGGATTCATATTCTTCTAATAATAGCATTTAAAAGCACCAAGCATCTATAAATGCTGCAGTATTTCATAAAAGGCATACAACACCCAGATTATTGTGAGCACTACCAACTAGATATCAAATACATTTGACTATAAAACCATTTTGACTTATCTTAAAAATACTATTTTAAAACAATAAAGCATTCAACATTCTGCCTGACACATCAATGCATCAGTTACTTTTATGGCCACTATGGAAAAACACCTGATAAGAAAGGAAGGATTTATTTTGGTCACTGTTTCAGAGGGTCATCATCAGTCATGGTGGAGAGGGCATGGCTGAGAATGCACAGTGGCTCGGTTCCTGAGAGCAGGAGTGAGCAAGCGTGGCTTGTTATGGCGGCTGGTAGGAAGCACGGAGACTAAACAGAAATCAGGGTCCTACCCCTGTGACCTACTTCCACAAGTCAAACCAATCTCCTAAAAACTCCAGCCTTCAAAATAATAGTCCATAGACCTGGGGATCCAGTGTTCAAAACACGATCCTATAGCAGGCATTTTAGAATCAAACCATCACATTTGTATTGTTGTTACTGCCGTTTAGCCATTTTTTTCCCCTGAATTTTTCTTCCTCCTATTTCCTCAAGGTTTGCTGAGCTCCTTAATAGACTGGAGTGTGCCCTCTGAGGACAAGAGTTACTGGTGAATTGAATGACTAATAGACTGAAAGATACTGGATTCCAAGGGGTATCCTGGGGAGTAGGGAAGATGTGGAGATGGAGTGAGATTGAAGACTGATTCCCACGGGCCTCACCAACCTTGCTAGTAAGGGGAGAGCCACAATGGATCAACACAGAGTTTTGGGGCTTTGATTCTGTGCATGTGTGTGTTCATGCATGTGTGTGCATGTGTATGTAGAGGCCAGACACTGGCATCAGGTATCTTCCTCACACTCCACTTTAGTTCTTAAATCAGTGTCTCTTACTGAACCTGGAGCTCAGGACTCAGCAAGTCCCAGGAACCTCTTGTCTGCTTCCAAGTGCTGCGATTACAGGACTGTGCTGCTGTACCCAGCTTTTTAAGTAGATGCTGGGGATCCAAACTCAGGCTCACGTTTTGAATGACAAGCACTCTAGCAATAGAGCCGTCTCTCCAGCCTCCCTGTTGGAAATTTTAATATCTTACTGATGTGAAGAACTCCCCACCCCACCCCTTAGTGTAGTGTTTGGCACAGAGGTATAAGATTTCTGGTGAAAACTGGGAAAGGGCTTATAGTTCTCACTTGGGTTGAACTAATATGTAACTGGAAAGGCAGTCCAGAAGCAGAAGCAGAGGGTGACTATGAACACAGAAGTTATCTGGAACTTCTAGAAATGTCAGCTAGGTTGCTGACAGATGTTTGACACAGTCTGAAGAAGTGACAGCAAACATCTGTCTAATAGATGTCTTCCCATTTCAAAAGCCATTCTGGTCTCAGACCTGGCCACGAATAAGAAAGATGAGATCAAATTGATTCCAAAGCTCTATGCCTGGCCCAGCTGGGCCAGAACTCTGGTTTAATCTAGAATCACCCAGTCAAGACAATTCTTGGCCTAAATATGTCCAAGGGCTAGAAAGGATACCTGCACTGATGTCTCAGAGCCATCCTGAATCCTTGAGACTTTTAGTTCTGGAGTACCTGACCTAGGACTAAAAGATTGTGTCCACATGGAAGGATATAAGCTATGATATAACAATTAAGAAGTCAGAAAGCACCAGAGGAAACACTGTTGCCAGGGAACACAGGCTTCCAGCTCTATTGGTTTGGTCCTGGTGCCACCCTGTGCAAAGTCTCCCTCTTTCCCCTGTCTCTGCATCTCCCAATTCTCCTTTTTTGGAGCATCGGGGACCTGATCAGTTTCTTCCTCCCAACAACTCCAGCACTCGCCATGTTATTGTACCGAGTAGAGACAAGGACTCAGGTCTCTGCGATGTGACCCCAACAACTTCTTTAGACGGTGTGAATGTAGTCATCTGTGAAATGGGTGGGTGCTAAAAGCAACTGCCTCAGGGATGGATAATGATCTCCGCTAGGAACGGGGTGGGGGGGCGTGAACATCAGTTGGAAGGGAATCACTAAGGCATCTTCCAATCTGCAGGGGAATTCTTTCAGCCGACCTACTCCTCTGAGACCTCTCCTGAACGTCCTTCTCTTTTAAAGTCGACTATCCACTAAGGCGAGAAAGTTAGTTCCTTTCTTCCCGCGGTTCTTCCCGGTCCCTTCTCCGGGCCCTCCCTCTGCGGACGCAGGGTCGCCGCCGGTCCGTGCGGCCCAGCCTTGGCGGTCCCTGATGCAGTCAGTGTCTGCGGCGCTGCCCTGCAGGGGAGGTAGCAGCACGCTGCGGGATGAAGGGCGGCCGCTGCAGAGGGAACCGGGCAGGGCCCAGGGCCAGCGCGGGGGAGGGGCGCGGAATAACGGACGGCCGCGCCCGGCCCCGTCAGCGCCCGGCCCCGAC